AAACTAGGAATGGCAACGGGGCGGGGCGGGGCGGGGCCTAGGATCCCACTCCCCGTCCCCGATCCCCGATGGCCAGAACTTTCTCGTCCTCGGCCCCTATCCCCGACGGGGAACCTATCACGGTCCCTGTCCCTGCCCCCAACGGGGATCGGGTTTCCCCGACCCCGAAAGTTCCCCGATCCAAATCTGTTTCAACATTCAACACCATCAACAACTTTCAACATCATCAGCAATGTACTCAAAAAATCATACACATACATACATACTCACATGTGTACATTCACGCACAGCACACACATACATTATACATACACACAGAGACACGCATACATGTATACATAGAGAGAGAGGACGACGGAGGAGATCGGCTGATTGGCGACAACGACGGAGGAGATCAACACAGATCTGAGATCTCTGTGTGACTGCGACGATGGTGACTCAACGGATAGGAAGAGAGGGCAGCGATGGAGGTGGAGTGAACGGCGGAGTCGACGGAGGTGAAGTGGCGGTGCGAGGTGGACAACGACTCCGGCATCGCGGACAGTGACAGCTGCGCTGAGGAGGCGGAGAGGAGAGGTGCAAGAGTGAGAGACAGAATAGAATAATTACATAGAGGGTTATATATTAAGGGGTATATACAGTAAGTTTAATTTGAGGGGCTAACGGGAACGGGGTCGGGGTTAGGGTCGAGGCCGGGGATGAAAAACATATCACCTTCCCCGGGGATTTATTTTTGAGTACCATCCCCGGCCCGTAGCGGATATTTTTCGGGAAAAATCCGCTCTAATTGGGGTCGGGTCCCTGTCGGGCCAGTTTCAAATTGCCATCCCCAAATCAAACCACTGCCATATCAGACTCCCTAGATTTTGGGAATGAAATCACCATCTTTCTCATTATTGATGTCTGGAATCAAATCAAATCAAATCAGTTTCAAAATATCACATAAGCAAATAATTTGCATTCATGCCTATCGTCGGAGGGTAGGGTTGCCTTGTCCTAATTTAGAAATGAGATCTACGATTAACTAAATCATTCAAAGAGGCAAACAAAACAATCCTAGAATGGAGGGTATCCTGCCCTAGTTTGGAAGGTGCTAATGCACTATAAATGCAAAAGGGAATTTGGTCACAAAAAGAGACATCAGTTATTACTGTAAACATACCACTCCTTCCACAAGGGAATGATCAAACAGTACTAGCAGCATAATCTGATGCTTGCCTCGTTGACATAACAGAACCCACGAATAGTGTCCGGGATATCATGCAGCAGACCTAAGGATAGGTGAATGGACATAGTCAATTTTGTATAACACTTGCCATCGGATCACGAAGTCATCATCATCACCGATTGGGTGATAGTTGCCCAACCAAGGCAATTTTGAGGAATTTTAATGATTCCTAGCAGAGTGATCATTCTAAACAATTGTCTTTCCACTATTTATTGTTTCCCGAAATGTCCCTCAATTTATTTTCAAAAGTGCGTGATCAAATCTCCACTTCAATTTTTTTTTTCCAAAATCCTTTTTAAAAATAAAGTGCCTTTTTTTATTTAAATTTTCAAAGTTTTCCTTTCCTCTTTTTTTTCAAATGTTTTGAGGAGTTCAAATTTTATTCCAAGGAATCAATCAAAAAATCACCCTCTAGCAAAATATCTTACAGAGGAACCAAAATTTTATTCAAAATGAAAGACTTGGTCATCACTTCCTTGTCTAACATTTCTCCATGAAATTAAGGTTCCCTCAAAGTCAGTGGCCCAAGGATTTTTTCTCAACGAAAAGAACTTTCCATAATTTCCAAACTGTAATCAAATTTTATTTTCAAAAAATTTCCAAGGAATTTAAGATCCTATTCGAAGAAATTAATCAAACAATTACCTTATAGTCAAATGTCTTCTAAGGAAATTCAAAATTTCATTTCAAAGTAAAAGACTCGGTCATTACCTCCTCATCAAACACTTTTCCATAAAATCAAATTCCCTCTAAAGTTAAAAAACCTAAAGATTTCTGTCTGATCAAAAACTTTTCATAATTTCTAAAATTCTACTCGGGTTTTCCTTCAAAATTCTTTCCTCCCAAGGAGCTTCGGATTTTATTCCAAGTATCTAATCAAACAATTGTCTCCTTAGTCAATTATCTTTTGGGGAATTTGGAGTTTTATTCAAAATGGAAGATTTGGTCACCACTTCCTTATCTACCATTTTTCATAAGAGTTGAAATTCCCCCTAAAGTCCATGACTTAAAGATTCTTATTCAATCAAACACCTTCCATAACCCCCAAGGCTCGACTTGAAGTGGAAAGTTTCTTTTTTCTAGAAGTTATTCT